GAAAAAGATGAAATGGAAACAAAAAATGAAATGGAAGAAAGTATTGAAATGAAAGAACAAAATGAAATGGAAGACAGTATTGAAATGAAAGAAAATATTGAAATGAAAGAAAATATGGAAATGAAAGACAAAGATGAAATGGAAACAAAAAATGAAATGAAAGAAAATATTGAAATGAAAGAAAAAGATGAAATGGAAACAAAAAATGAAATGGAAGAAAAAAATGAAATATCTGAAAATATACAAAAAGAAGAAGACTCAACTGTTGTATTACTAACAAATAATCAATTGGAAGAAACAGATTTAAAATGTAATAATGAATTAGAAGATACACAAACGTTAGAAAATAAATCTAATATAGAAAATAATTTAGAAAAATGCAGTGCTGAACAAATAAGTTCTATTGAAACAAATGATAATGTTAAAGAACAAAACAACATTTGGAATATATCTGAAATTGAAAACATGAATTGTACAGAAGTAATAAATGCAACTGTTTCAGATAATAATAGTATGAACGAAACAGAAGATATTCCATCAGATTTAATATTACAAACAGATAAATTAGAAACAACAAAAGAATCACATGAAGAAGAAAATTTAACAGAATTTTGTACTGATCTTAATTTGATTGATACAAAAACAATATCTGTTAATACTGAAACTCTTGATTCAACATGCAAAGAGTCAAATGTTACAAACATTTTAACGTCTCCTGTTATTTCAGAAGAAAATATTTCTAAGAATGATATTGATTCTAATTCTGTAGAAAATTCAATTGAATCAAGTTTTAATTTTAAAGATAATATTACAGAAAATTCATTGGTCACAAGTTGTAGTTCTTCAGATAATAATAAACCTTCAACATTTACAGATACCACAGAATCTACCATGGAAACATTGGATGTTTCTGAATTTAAATCACAGTCTGATTGCATACTTCCTAATGATCCTGAAGTATTAGATACATGTGTATTTCAATTAGAAAAGGATCATTCTCCTAAGAATATTCCCATTTCAAACGAATCTACAGAATCACTGGAAAATGTAAACGAAGAATCTGATAATAAAATGGATGCAATTTCTGATTCTGATAATAAAATGGATGCAATTTCTGATTCTGATAAAAACACAATCAATGAATTACAAGACATAAATAAAATTGAAGAAAATGATCAAAATGATAATATGGATACAGAGGAAAGTTCATTTGAAATATCTACACAACAAATTGATGAAGTTTCATTAATGGAAACTGAAACTCATGAGATAAAAGAAGAAAAACAACAAATTCAGGAAATATGTACATTTGTAGAAGATATGGATAAAGATGAAGTATCGTCAAAATTATTGGATGATGATAATAAGACATCATTTTCTTTGGAAGAAGATAATATAATAGATGATAATAAGACATCCTTTTCTTTGGAAGAAGATAAAACAATGGATGATAAAATGATATGTGAGACAAGTGAAGAAAAAGATTTAGTATCTTCAAAATTATTAGATGATAGTAAAAAATTATTTTCTCTGGAAGAGAATGATATAATAAAAGATAAAATAATATGTGAGACAAATGAAGAAAAGTGTGATATAGAAAATACATCTAACATAGATGACCTAAAATATAATGATGAAATTTTAAAGAATAATGAGCTTATAGTTGATAGAAAAGAAAACTTGGAAGAAGTTAATGAAAATCAAATAGACCACCAATCCAAAAAGATATTAGAAAAGGAAATGGATTTGATTACAGATGTTGAAAAAATGGATTTGTCTATTACAGAATGTACATCTAATATCGATGAAAATCTTACAAAAGAAGAAGATTTAAAAGAAGTCAGTCAAGAATCAAATGACATATTAGATGTATCTACTTCTTTCAAGAGTACAAATACTGATTTTCAAAATATATTACAAAATGAAGAAAAGGATGATACTGTAGGAATGTTATTATGCAAAACTAATGATTCTATTTCTGACAATGTAGAAGATAGTATACAAAATTCTATATCAGAAAATAATCTGATAAATATTCTTGATGATACACCTAAAGTAACAGATATGTTTACAGAAGAACAATGTCCAAATACTCAAGATATTGTGGAAAGTATTTTGGATAATGTAACAGATGTAGCTGATCTTAAACATTTATTAAGTCCAGAAAATAATACAAGAAATGGAAGTGACGATGATCTTCAACAATCTGTGGAATTAGCAACAGTTGAAAATGAAGATAAAGAATTGGTTGAAAAATTACCTGAAGTATCATCTGATATATTGAATAAAGAAATAGAAGATCCAATAGAAGCATCGAATTTAGACTCACTGGAAGAATTATTAGATCTTGATTTAATACCCGAAACTGAAGATGTAACAATGAAAGATGAAAAAGTAGACAAAATGCAAGAACAAGTAGAAACAATTGATAAAAATGTTAATATGGCACTTTTTCTTCAACAACCTGAAGAAGTATCATCTATACAAGAAAATTCAGATTATATAGAACACGTTATTAATAATTGTTTAACAGATGGAAATGATGTGTCCTTGGAAGAAACAACTGATAAAGTAAATATTAAAGGTTATGACCAAGATGAAGATAATGTTGAATGTAAACAAAAAGAATTATTAAACATCAATGATAATACAATAACTGCTTCTTTAAGTAAACATTCAGATGATATAAATTTACAGAAAGAACTGGATGTTGACAATTCTTTACAAGATAATAACCTTAACATGGATTATGTTGGAAATTCAGTGGAATCTATTAAACATTTAGAAGAAGGAACTACTAAATTACAAATTGCACAAGATATGCTTTTAGAAAATGCAAATCAAGATGAAGAACATCTGAATGAGACTTCTCTTGACATAGACAGCAATCAGGCAGCTCCAGATATTTCAGAATTAGAATCTGCTGTAAAATTTTTACAAGAGTCAGAAGAACAAACAGTAGATTCTCCTTTACTTCTTTCTCCAAAAATGGTGGAAAGTGTTGTTAATGATATATCAAAACAAACTAATTCAAATATTTTTGTACAGGATGAAGACATTTGCAATGATACTTCTGAATTGGTAGCTGAATTACAAGATATTACTTCTGATTCTATTTCTATATCTGAAGCTGAGATTATATCAGAAGCTGCAAAATTAGAAAATGAACGTAAACTTGCTGAACAAATTAAAGTTAATACTTGTATATCTCATGTTGAAGAAAATGAATTGAAAGAAGATGATTTGAAAGAAAATGAATTGAAAGAAGATAATTTGAAAGAAAATGAATTGAAAGAAGATAATTTGAAAGATAATGAATTGAAAGAAGATGATTTGAAAGAAAATGAATTGAAAGATAATCAAGAAAAAATAGAGAATATTCCTGATACTTATTTTGACACAACTACAGATAAAGTATGTAATAATAAACAAATATTGTCCAATGAAAGTGTACCCAGTACAAGCTCTGAAAGTTCAAAAATAACAGATAGAATGGCTATAATAGCAGAATCTATTCCTAAAGTTTCAATTTTAGAAGAACGTTTGAGAGAACCACCAAAAATAGAAATTCCTACAACAGATATAACAAAAATGTGTGAAACATTAACAAGTACAAAAGACAGTCTTCTAATACCAAAAGATGCAAAATTGTCGGCCTATCAAAAAATGTTAGAATCACCAAAATCAATTGATAACAGAGAACCAAAAATTGTAGAAACACCTAAAAAAGAAATGGAAAGACATGATTTTGAAAATGTTGGATCTCCAAGAATAATATTAAAGATTGCTAAATCAGCAATTGCAGAATGTGCTGAACCAAGATCACCAAAAAGTCCCAAAATTCGATCGGCAACTAATTCACCAAATCCGGAAGATAGTCCAGGTCAAAAATTAGGGAAAATTAAATTAAAGCTTTCAAAAGGTGGACATCCTTCTATAATATCAAATGAGATTGTTGAAGATGCCAGTCAATGGCATACTGAAAGTTCATCATCATTATCTCCTATTGGTATGAAAATTAAATTATCAAAGACCGGAGATGCTTCAATTTTACCAACTGAAAAATACGAATCTGTGGATGATGTAAAAGAAATAAAGCACAAATTTGAAGAAATTAAAAGAACAGAATCTCCGTTAGGAATGAAAATCAAATTATCCAAAACTGGTGATGCTTCCATTGTGCAACAAGATTCCAAAGATATCACAACAAAATATAAAGAAAAATTAGATGGTATGCAGGGTAGCCCAAAAAGAACAGATTCACCTATAGGAATGAAAATAAAACTTTTAAAAACTGGAGATGCATCCATTGTACAACTGGAAAAACAAGAAATATTTGAAGATCATAAAGATGGCAAATTAAAAGAAAAAGTAGATATTATTTCTGATCCACCAAAAAGAACTGAATCTCCAATTGGAATGAAATTGAAATTATCAAAGAGTGGAGATGTATCTATTGTATCCTCCCCTGATGTAACAGACGAAGGAAAAGATGTAATAGGAAAAACAAAAGAGAGACATGAAGCATCTCCAGAAATTCCTAAACGTACAGATTCTCCAATTGGAATGAAAATAAAATTATCAAAGATAAAAGGTAGTGCATCTATAATTTCCATAGATAATAATCAAGAAGAAATGAAAGAAAAAGCAGACATTGCTGATGTACCAAAACGAACAGAATCTCCTTTTGGAATGAAAATAAAATTATCAAAAAGTGGAGATGCATCTATCATACATTCAGAAGTTTCAGATGATTTACAAGAAATGAAACAAAAAGAAAAAGTCGATGTGTCACAAGATACAACAAAATCTGCAGAAGTTCCATGCGGAATGAAGATTAAAATGATGAAATATGTAGATACATCAATGGGTACATCAGAATTGATAGATCGACATGAAAGTAGCCATGATGCATCTCAAAAAACAGAATCTATCGGTATGAAAATCAAATTTTCTAAATCTGGTGATGCATCAATAGTTCCTCCTGATAAACAAGAACAAACAGATGATCATAAGAGCAAAGAAACTTTACAAGATTTACCTAAACAAACAGAATCACCAATTGGAATGAAGATTAAACTTTCAAAAACAGGAGATGCTTCAATAATACAAAAAGAAGTAATAGATAATAATACGAACAAAATTATCAACAAATCTGATATGGAGTATCAAAAAAATTGTGATATTTCTGCATGTGGAAAAACGAAAATATCAAAAGCTAATGATGCTCCTTTGATAACAGATTCTGAGAAAAGAGAGAAACAACAAAAACGAAAAGAAATAGAATCTCCGTTAGAAATGAAAATAAAATTATCCAAGACTGGACATCCAACAATTGTATCTTGTGAGAGTCATGCCGAATCTGCTCATAAATCTAAAGATACTTCAGAAACTGCACATAGTTGTGCTCATAGATATAAAGAGTCCATATTGCACAAGGATTCACCATTGAAAATTCTTAAAACTGGACATTCAACAATTATGCAAGGTAATCGTTCTGAATTAACTATTGAACCGGTACAACTACAAGGAAAACAAAAAATGGAAAATTCTCTTGAATTGTCTTCTAAGAGAAAAGAGATAACAATATCACCAATTGAGACGAAAAAATCAAAATTAGAAACACAGTTGTCACAAATTCTACCAGAAGTTACCATTCAACCGGTTATATCTAGAGATCAAAAACAATTATTATTTGATCCTAAAACAAGTTTAATTAGTCGTCAACAAATGAACGTGATAAGCCAAGAAATCAGTATTACACAAGTAAGACCATCTAAACAAGCAGATGTTTCTATGAGCGATAAGCTAAAGGACATGTTAAGTAAAAATGTTGCTAGTTCACCGATTGGTTCAGATTGTGAGATAATTGAACACAGGCCTGAATTAATAATTGTTAATGAAAATTCCAACTCTAGTCAAGATGTTATGATAATAGAAGAAGTGCCAGCAATTCGAATGCCTGAAGTTAAAATGCCCAAGAAACGAGGTAGACCACGTAGAAATCCATTGCCACCAATTGCACACAATTCAACGCAATTATTAATACCTCGAGATCCATTAGCTTTGGATGATGTATCACAAGTTCAATTGGAGCATAGAGAAAATGAAAGACCTAGGAGAACATGTAGAAATCAAAAAAGTTATGCACCACCTAAAAGAGGACGTGGTAGAGGTAAGTATTTGTAAATCATTAATATAAATTAGCACTATACATTTTCTTTACAAATATGATAATATATTATGCAAATAACTTTATGTAGGTCGTGGAAAGAGAAAGTTGGACAATCCAGATCTTCCACTTAGTAAGAAACCCAGAGTGGAACAAGATTTGAATGCCATAGAAGCTTCTACAATGGCTATTATCACTTTAGATGAATCTCCAAAACCAGAACAGACTTTAAGAAAATCATCTGAATTATATAAAGCTCTTAAACAACCCCCTATAGATAGTAAAAGTATAAATCCTATGTGTAAAATGGAAAAACAACAATCTTTGTTAACAGTTAGAAAAGATATTGTAAAACCAATGGATATTCCCAAAATTACAATTTTAGATTCCAATGTTAATACTCAATTAGAATCCGTTATGGGTTCTAATATGGAAGAAGACAAAATATTAGTAAAATCAACAATGGGATCAACATCATTAGATTGTAAAGGTAATGAAAAAGAATTGGCAAATATGCCTGCTGAAAAAGAACAGAAAACTACAGAAAAGACACTTACTGATAAAATTATTGACAAAACAGTAGAAAATGCAAGATCTACTACTGGACATGAAAGTAAGGAAATGCTTATACCTCCAGGACATCCTAACTGGCTAACACCAACATCAAAAAGACAAACAGAAGCTACATCTAAGAATGAACCAGTGCCTTCTTTACAAGTTATTGATGAAGAAACAAGAATGAGTGCAGAGTCTAATTCAAGATCTCAAACACCAGCAAGAAATATATCAACACAAGGTATCAGTACACATTTGACTTTTATTTTTTAATAATGCATAAAGAATAATTATGATTATAACATATATATATAAATATGAAAAAACTAATAAACTAATCAATTTATTAATTACACAAAAATTTGAAATACAATTTCTAATATATTAAATTTAAAATCATTGATATTACTTTTATTTAACTTTATAAAATAATTATTATTTTGTTTGAATTAAATACGTATTGTGTAAAAGTATTAGATAAAATCATTAATCTGTCATGCTAAATCATAGCATAAATGTATTGGTAAACCTCCAACCAAGGTATCTAAAAATAGTTCTTTTCTTGTGTCTTAAGATCTCTCAAGTATCTGAATGTAAGATAGTGACAAACGTGAATTTACATAGAATTGATATTATATAAATATTGATGTTATTATTACTAACATATTATAATAGTAAGATCATATATATAAAACACATTTGATTACTTATCAGATTGAATATAATTGCATTGAGTGATTTTATTAAAACTATCATCTAGCCTTTATTCAAATATTCTTATAATTTTTTTCATTTTCTAAATAATGTGTATGTAGAAAAATTGTTTCAAGTATTTTAATGATTAGTCATTGAAATTTTATACCAAAAAGTGATATTATAAATTTATCTTAATATTTATATAATATAGTATACATTTTTAACAACAAAAAAATAATATTTCAGCATCCGAAACAATAATTAATGAGGAGTCTCAGGGAAGCGTACTTAGTACAGCGACTACTGAATCGGAGAAAGTCAAAGTAAAGAATCGAAGAATGGAAATTAATTTTGATCCAGATGAAGGACCCTTTACTGTTGATAAAATAGCAGAATATGAATGGCCACTAGATCGTAAAGGGGAAACATTTATGATACAAGAACAAATATCACAGTATTTAGGTGTGAAATCATTTAAAAGAAAATATCCAGATTTAAAACGTCGAATGGTTGATATGGAGGAGAGAAATTATTTAAGAGAAAATGGATTAGTTAGCGAAGCAATGTGTGACATGGGTAGGTGAATAAATGTTTTTAATAATTCTTTATAATATTTTATAATAATTAATATATGTGATATACATTTTGTTGTATAGGTTTAACAGCAGTTTGCAGTTCAGAAGTATTAGATATAATGTGTAGTGATTTTCCTGATCAATATGAGGAATATCGTAAACACATGAGAGAAAAACAAGTTAAAGAACATTCGAAAAAGCAAAAAGAATTAACAGCAGCAGCAAATGCTGAAAGAAATCGAATAGATTTAGCAGAAATGGCAATACAGTCAGCTTTATCATGGAACATTAGTTTAAATAAATCACGTAAAGAAAACAGAAAGTGTAGTTTAGATTTGCAAACTTTCACTATACATGTGCCAAAGAAACACCATAAGCTTGATACAGATCGAAAGATAAGTCATTATCCAGTAGCTTTGATGCCAGGTCAATATACTGATTATTATCGAGAGTATACACCTGCCGAATTGAGATATTATCCATTAAACACAGTTTTGTATGGTCCTATGCGACCAAATGAACGTAAATTTGATAGTCAATCAGAAGGATCGCAAAGTGATAGTGATAGTGATTCTTCAAGTGACGATTCAAGGTGTTCACATTATAAATAAAATAATATTCTTTTTAAATAACAAACTTTGTTGTTCTTGATATTCATTATTATAATTATTCAATGTTTAGTTCTTCATCCAGTGAAGGAACACAAGATACAGAAGGGTCTCAATCAACGATGGACGATGTAGATATGGAAATAAGTAACCAAAAGGAAGAAACTAAATTAAAATGTAAAATGTGCTTAAAGTTGTTAAATAAAAATGGCAAAAATGAAGGATTAATACAATGTGGTACTTGTAATGGACATGGTAAATTATTAATTGTGAATGAATATCTTGATTATACTATCAGAATAATTTGTTTTATAATTAGTTTTATACTCTTTTTCTAGTTCATCCATCATGTATAGAATTAACATTGGATATGGTTCCTCATATTCAATCTTATGCATGGCAATGTACCGATTGTAAAACATGCGCTCAATGTCATGATCCAGCAGATGAAGATAAAATGTTGTTTTGTGATATGTGTGATCGTGGGTAAGTTTACTTTATAAATATATGTTTCGAGTGAAGTTAATAAAATTTACAAAGTATATTATATTATTATTCTTTATAGATATCATATATATTGTGTTGGTCTTCGACGAGTACCAGTTGGAAGATGGCACTGTCAAGAATGTGCTGTATGTGCAAATTGTGGTTCAAAGGAACCTGGAGGTGCTAATTCTGATAGAAACAGTGTAGCACAATGGCAACATGAATATAAGAAGGGTGATAAAAATACTCGTGTTTATGTTTCCACATTGTGTGTTCCATGCTCAAAGTTAGTATAATTATATTAAACATGTCATAGATATTGACAAGTAAATAACATAAATTACTTTCTTTTTATACATTTTTCTTCAAAAGAGTGTGCTTAAATTTTGTGATAATAACTTTTTTCAGTAAATTTTCATATCAAAATGATTATAATTAATGCTTTATATATATATATATATATATATATATATATTCATGATGACAATTCACATTTTCATTTTCATCTTTATACACTATAGTAATATTATTTGTTTTATATCATGCATAAATAACTAACTAAAAAAACTGCATGTACATATCAAATACGCACACATACTCTCATATTTAATTATAAATATACAAAAAATATGACATCCCAATAATAATTTATATCATAAATCCATAATATTTGACTAATTAATCATTGTGTATAAAGGTACTTATCTTTTATTTTGATAAAAGAATTATTTCAAATGAAAACATTTAATTGTGTAGTTTATCATAATAGACATTATAACATTAAAAATTTAATCAATTTTACTAACACCATGATCTTTATTATACATTAACAAGGCTATGGCGAAAGGGTCGCTATTGCCCTCACTGCAGTCGCTGTCATACTGCCTCAAGACTCGACCTGGAGGCGAATCTAGTACATTGCAGCGCATGTGATAAATATCTGCACTTAGGTATTGATACAAATTTTCATACGATTCCATTATGTAATTAATGCATTATTGCCATATGATGTTGTCATACGTATGATATTTATGTCTTATTAATATTTGTACAGAGGATGATCCAAAATAATTGTTAACAATTAACAAGTAGAACACACACACACACATTATATTTTACAATACATGTTCAAATTTATATTATTCATTATTTATTAGATAAGTAATGATATTACAAGCTCTGTAGTTATTTCTAATTATCTTGAATCATCCTGTTTATGTATATATTAATCATCACATGTAAATTGTATATATATATATATATACATATATACATATGTTTTGTACTATATTCAAAAATTAGAAATATTTTTAGAAAATTTCTAAGTTGTATTATGCATGAGGAATAATCTATTTCACAATACTAATATATTTCATACTCTACTCATTAATTATTATATATTTGTAATGAATTTTACAAACATTGGAGAAGGGTAGTATAAATTATTAAAAGTGAAGTTAATTAATTTAATGTTATCTATAATGTAAAATATATACTTTAATTAATTTTGTATTGTTTTATAATAGAGTATTAAATTATTTCTTTAAAATATTAATATATTAATTAATTATATTTATATTTATAGGTTGCGTGGAGACCAAAGGACTGGGATTTGATAAAAAGAATTATTTATGCGATTTCTGTGCTCCCAATCGACAACCATTAATAAAACCTTTAGTATCAAAAGTATTCAAGACATGAAAATATCATTTCTTTATGTAAGTTATCTTGTTTTTCATACATGAAGAATAAACCTTGCATTTTAAGACATCAAACTATAATTTGTTTGGCAATATTTAAATAATAAAAAATACTTCTCATTATTATTCTCTATTCAATGTTCTTATGTTTTGATGATAAAGCTAATTGTATATATTTATGCGTTTGTAAGTTATATATATATATATATACTCTATTTGTAAAAATTTTTTTATTTTATTGTAGAATAATATGTACTTTTAATTATTACACTTGTATATTCATTAAAATTCATTCATAAATATCAAATAACAAAAAACTACGTTCTCTATAAAAATGATTCAAACGTTTTGTTCATAATTAACAAACAAACATATTATAAAATAATATAATTTTTTATCCGAAATAACAATTAAAAAAAAAGTTAAAAGAATTACTCGTGATTAAGTTAAGAATTTTTAAATTTTATAAATAATAATAAGTGATATATATGGTTTGGAAATATTCTTTATAGTTAATATAAAAAAGGATTTTAAATTATATTATTATTAAAACATTTTCATAGACTGCATGTAATCATTAAAACTAGGTTTAAAACAAAATAATGCAATATTAGTATTTTTATTATAAAATTGTAAGAAGGTGCTACTATTGTGAGATATATATCATTATTATAATTTTGTTATTTTATGTTAATAATTAATAAATACATATTTTTATTAAAAATAATCAAATTAATATAATCAATTAATATCAATCATAAAGTAATTACCTCGCATTCCTACCTTTATATTATATTTTATTGTTTATAAATTCATTGAAAGAGTAGATTGATCTGTTAAATATCTACTTAAATATCTAGAAAAATAAAATAATAGAAAAAGACCACATTTCTTTAAAAATATATATCACTTTCTTTATTTTCCTTTTGCAGTAACCTTGAGTCAGTATTCTGTTGCAGGTATTGAATGCATGTAAACATTCTTTTTTTTTTTTACATATTTATAATATAGTGTGTATATCCATGCCGTAAATAATTTGCCAAGTTATTTTTTTTTTTTTTCTTTTTTTTTTTTTTCTATGAAAAAATTTATATGTTTTTATATTCACGCATAATCAATAACTGTTTTCAATTGAAACTAATTGTATATTACAATAGATTACAATGATATATATCTTATACTATTTTGCAATATGTACAAACCAAAGATGATGGTAGTAGTAGTAAAATCGTTCGAGGAGTGTTAGAATCATAAAATATACATTTTGTTATATCGTTGCATTAACAATACATACAATTGTAAATGATTTTTGTTTACTTGAATGTCATTTTGTATCTCTGTACAATAATATTATATTATGCCCTTGAAACACAAATAATTATTTGAATCATACATTTGCAAATCTTTCTTCTCTGTTCCAATAGTTTTCTTCTTCATGTGAGTAATATATTTTACATAATAATATTTATAAGATTAAAGTTTCATCTTTATAGTATAAACACTTGTTGATAATAATATGCTGGAAGCAGTTCAGGCAGCATATTCAGAATAAGAGTACATTTCTGACATGATATTATTTCTAATTACATGCTGCTTCGTGCATTTCTATATTTCAATTAGAAACATAACTATAGATATATTTACTTAAATTAATAAGATAGGCGAAATAGCTTTAGTAAATATTTCTATAATCTAATATATACCTACATATATATTAGATTATTTGAATTGTTCTTTTGTTTAATTTCGAGTTTACTGCAAAATGGATATGCGTAATAATTTCAATCATTTTTCTTTTGCAAAATTCACACATTTAACACTCCGCATTATAGCGAAAATAATAATAATAATTAATAAAAAAAAAAAAAAAAAAAAAAAATACCTTCAACAAAAATCGAGACATGGCACATGAACAAACTTCTTACGAATTTACGTAATATGCAATTGCATTTTATATAGAACACTTATACTAACGGGACAACATGTTCAGTTTAAAATTGCACCTTATCCCGTTGACTAGCCAAAATTATAAGAGATAACATTAATTGTCGCAAAATATTAATTGATCAAATGATTGAGAGATATAAAGAAATTTGGTATAAAACGAACATATTTTTTTTTTCCCCCTGGGTAAATTATTATAAATTAGTGCAAAAATTAATTAGCATCATCAATAATATATATATATATGTGTGTATATGTAAGATATTAGCGAAAAAATCTATACAATTGCCAATGACCTCATTAGTTTTGTTGTTGCTGTTTTCAGTTTCGATTCAATAAGTTGATTTTTTTCTTGATAAAATGTAAAACTTAAATGTTAAAGTAATTCCTGTAAAAATTCCAAATTCAGGTCTTTGGTAGCATTTATTCTAAACATGTATCTTAATTTTCACGAATAATTGACAATAATAGATTTGACGAGAAGATTTACTCATGCCTAATACCACATATAGATAAGAAAGTGCTAAAATTATGAAGATGAGTTGCTGGTATAATAGTGCTAACCAAATTTCGCGTTGAAAATTGTGACAAAACGTTATGAACAAAATTTGGACCAGGTGAAGAGCCAACCTTGTAGAAAATTCTCAAGTTACACGTGGGATTAATAGTTTGAGTCCCTTTTGTTAATTTACATAATAGATATTCGAATGCTTCTGTCAATTCAGCTTCAGTCAATTCCGTAGAAGTCAAATTTGTCTCGGCTGCTAAATTACCAATAGAATTGGATGAACCTTTTGAAAAATTAAAATTAAATGTAAGAAACCTTGATTATAATACAAATCAAATATTTGATCATTATAATATCTGAGTCATTCATTTGCTAAATTGATTAACTCCATAAAACAAAAAGTAGAGATAAAGTTACATACATTGTACAGCCATATAAAATTTGATTACTTAATTGTTTTCAAATTGTAAAAATGGAGTTAATTACTTTGAGTTATAAATGGCTTAGATGATTACAATCTTGAACAGTACCTGTTGATAAGTAGCACACAATTGCAGAAACATTATTTTCATAATTCCATCTTCGCCTTATTGCAACTTTAAAATTACCAACACATTTTCCTGTCTCTTCATCTATAATTGAAATCAAAATTATAATTGAAATATTTATTTTCTTTCAAATAATTTCTCTTACTTACACTCAAATCTATTATTATCCCTATGTGCCCACACACACCATTCAACTTGAGCATCTCTTGGAAGATGTGGAACAACAATATAATCTACAATAGCATTATTAGTTCGTTTTTCCCATTCTTTACGTGCATCTGGTATATAACTCGGATGAGTTAAAAAACAAATTCCCTGTACAATATCTCTAAGTTGTGTATTTGTATCCATAGCTTTAACAATGCGATCTATGTGCCTTAATGTCAAACGACATTGACGTTTTATGTTCAAATCGAGAAGAGTCATACTACCAGGTACCAAAGGTATTTGTCCAGCAACCGATATGATATCACCGACCTGATGACCAATAGTTTTTGTAAAGAAAAATCATTATTTTAATTATTTATATTTTAATTAAATGATTTACTTACGCGAACAGCTTGAGAATAAGGACCAATATTGGCAGGAGCCCAATGACTGATACTTTGAACATGCATCGTATGTCGCTTATGAACCTTCTTATCACTACAGTCTTGTATCTCTTTATAAGCTATAGCATCAAGTACAACGTGTATATTTAATGGACATTCTACGCATATACGAACTGGTGGATTTGCTTTGTTCAACCATGATGTATATACTTCATTTATAGAAGCATAATTTGTCATATCCTTTATATATAATGTTACAGCAACAATATCAGATATTTGAAGATTTTCTTTTTTGACTAAACCTAAGTACATTTAGCATATTTATATTATGTTAGAAATGATATACAAATATTATTTAAGATATTAAATATAGTAAAAAAAAAAAGAAAATATTAAAAAAAAATCGTAAATTTTACCTACTGCTTAATTTATCCAGTGCTTCTTTCGTTGCAGATTTTACATCTGAATGTTTTCCTGTTATACCACCAAACCAAAACCAACCTGTTTGATTTTTATTAGTAACTGGTACATCTGGATAATCCTCTTCTTCATATAAAACTTGTACTGGACTTGGGGGATTAAAATGACCTACAATATTTATATATTATTATCATATTAAATGTAATATTTAAATTATGGAATCAATTATCGTGAATATATTATTACCAGAATTAGAAGCTTTCATATTATGATCGTCACACGTTTGTTCGTCAGTTTCATCTTCAGATAAATTACATCCATCTTGTAATTCTGGTCCAACAACTTCAGAAATATAATCATATGGAGTTTTAACTGATACAGTTTTAAGCCGTTCTCTTAGTGACAACGTTTCTAAACCATTCTACAAATTTTCCCATATTTTTTTTTAAATTATCAAATCATTATACAATCTTCAATAATATACAAATATTGAAAATATTTAACTTACATTCTTATCTCGTAGATGTATTTTTTTAAAATTAATGTATCCGACAGGTGCTATATCATCATTTGAATGTACTACACTTTCATATTTATCTCTATCATGAAGAAATTTTCATTTACATAGTAAATTATGTTCAAATTTATATAATATGATTTAATACTATGTATAGAAATATATATGTAATTTTATAATCTCCATTACCTTTGATTTTTTTTTTTTTTTTAAATACAATTATTGAAAGATATTTTGTCTTACAATTTCAATTACAAATGTTTTACATTTGTATACAATATTAAAGATCATTTAATTATTAGTATAACAAAAATAATTGAGATTATAATATTACAGTATAGATATATATATGTGTGTGTGTATTTATATATTACTTACATTATGATACTTTTACTGAATAATGGACAGTCTAAAGTAAAAGTTTCATATTCTCCCCCTTCCCCACATACATTGACACCATACTTTTCTTTCTATAATGAAAAAATATCATTTAATTTTGTATATATTTAAAAATAAAATACTATGTTTCAAATATTGGACACAATCCAGCATTCATTTAAATTCATTGAAAATTAATGAATAAATTAATTATTAGATTACTATACTCACTATTTTGGCAAAGTGAGATTGTAATTCCAAGATAGATTTACCCAAATGTCTTGGCTCTAGACCTAAAGCTGCCACTTTTATTATAACGGCGTTTATTGAATTTTCAATCATCTCTTTTAACAAATCCTCTTGATCACGTCGCCATAAATATGATAGAGAAACAAGTCCTAGACGGCTACACCTAATTATTTATTTGATATTATTATTATTAATTTTTATTTTATACTATGACATTAACTACAATTAATGTTATTCAAAATTTGAATAAGATTGGTGTTCAATAATTACACATTTTCTACTCTGAGACGCTGATAATCACTAAGAACAGCTCCACTAGACACTCCTTCTATATTTTCTTGTTTCTACAAGAACAATATATAAATATATACATATAAATATATTTGTAAATATATATATAAACATGTTATTATAATAAACCAACTAACTTTAACTTTACTCAAAAGTCGATAGAGATCTTCAACTTCATCATCTTCAGTAGGATAATAAAGTTTTTCTTGCATTTTTGATCTACCAAATGTTGGTTCACGATATATTGGTAAACCCATAGCTTCAGCAATATAATCAACACCTTGATGTCCAACTGTTTGAAACATAAAAGAATCTAATTCATCTGAAAACAAAATTGCATATATGTATTAATCAAATGAAATAATTATCATGAATATAATAATACTATATTACATTGGGTTTTCATTTTCATTGACATTTCATATTTTTAATAATTACCATTTCCGACAGGATATAAATTTGCTACAGCTACGACATCATGACCAGCAGCAATACATTGCATCATATTAAAACAAGAGTCTTTACCGCCACTTAATAATGCTACTACCTTCATATTTTTATATATATATAGGATATATAAGTCTTTGAAAGATTATTAAAATTGTTTATCAAATTAAATATCAATGTATTTTACTCGATCATCTGTAATACACAAAATTGGGTACGTTGATTAAAGAACTCAAATTTACAAAATTTACATTTACATTTTTTAAACACACAAGTTTGATATTTTTTATTTGTTATAAATATATTATATTTATTTAGTGTACAAATATTTATAAGTTATAATAAAATTTGTATTCTTTTTTTTTTTTTTTAATTCTAAATAATGTTATAAGAACATAAGTATACTAAGTTGTATAATTTAAATATATACTCTCTTTCTCTCTCTCTTATACTCACACACACATTATTATCAACTTAACAGAACAAATTGTATTGCATTGGCAATAAATAAAAAATTAATTCACGTTAATAAAATATTGTTAATACAAATAAAAAAGTACACAATAACGATAAGATATATGCAAATAATATTTAATTTAACGTTAATAATATATGCAACAACTGTTACAGAAGAAAATATGTCACTTTCCTTTTTGTTCAAATGGAATATAGAGAAATTTATAAAGTGTTTCGTAATAGGGGATATTATGATGGCACGTGAAAAGCAAATAGCTTATAATTCTGATAACATATCACAGTAAATCTGTGATAAATATTAAAAACAGTATTTTTTGATACATTTTTGGTTAATGCCGATCTCAAGTACGTAATAATTATTATAGAATGTCGTCGAATTATAAATGATCCTAATAATTAATACATTATTTAGGATCTTATTTACGCTAAAATAAATACATAATTCTGAATGAATGTAATATTTACGTTAAAATTGACGACGAAAGACCCTTGCACGGCAAAGTCTATTCGAGACTGCGACGACTGGATAGTGGCGCCACTGAGCGATGGGACTTGAATCACATTAATTGAGGTTATACGAAATTTTATAATAAAAATGAGTATATATTTTTATTACGTGTAACATATTGAAATTTAATAATACATTAATTATATTTAAATATATAATGTATTGTTTTTAATAAAACTTATATGATTAAGTTAATGGAAAATATTTTGCTATCCAAAGATTCACAAGTGTACTCCGTGCAACCGTAGCTAGTGACATCATCAACATACTAGATAGAGATATGAGAATCAAAGTAATACCCCTTTTAGTTCAACTTCTATCTATTTTTATGCAACCTATCTTTAATTACTTTTATTAAACAAAATTTTATTTATTGATCATATTATTTTCAATACCTATAAATGTTTATATTTATATGTATGTATATATGTTTTGAATATTTTGATAATAAACATAGAAAAAATATAACACAGGATTAATATTATATTGAAACTATATAAAATAAAAATTAAATTACTAAAATCTTATATACAAATATCTATACATATATATTAACTTTATATATATATATATAAAAATAAAATTAAAATTACAAACAAATCATATAAAAATATAAACAATATTTTAATAAATGTTGAAATTATTAATACATATAAATTTACAATATGTAAAATGTATATGTGTAATGTGAAAAAGATAAAATTAATTTTTAATATGTTATTTTCACTAAAAAAATAAAATAGTTATCAATATTACATGTTTATTGTAATGTGAACTTTGTTCACAGTGATACTTTACGAACATATCATATTTGTACAAATAAAACTTATTTAAATTCTATAGTTTTTATAATTATATTACATCATTTTAAAAACAATTATATTGATATATTAAAATTGAAATAATATTTTATAAATTTAAAAATATATTTATTGAATGAATTGTCATCATTATTGGATAAATCGTGAACCAATCAAATCGTTTTGTAATAACGGCCATTTTACTTTCGCTACGGTAGCACGAAGCATATAGCAAATTTAGCCGAATACCGTGTAGCTGCAAGCTGTGATTTGCAGTCCAACTTTAAACGGAATTGAGTTTTAATAAATCAATTATAGTTAAATTATTTGCTATAACGTTAAACATTTTAAAAAGTGAAAATGGTTTTAGCAGAACGTAACTCAGAAAATGTTAGAAATGGTCGAAGATCAAGAGGTCCCAGCCCAAATGGACAGACAGAATCTTCAAGTGAAGAAGACGGAGGTATTCATTTTACATATTACAAAGTATACATTGAAATCAATCATTTCAAATCTTGATAAATATGATATTTTAAAAATATATCATTTTAAAAGGTTATATCTACAGTGAGAATTATATCTGTTAATTTATTATAAAATACAAAAATCGTATAAGATCTTTGAACAGCGCGCTTTATTTAATTCACTCTTTAAATAGTTTTATGTTAAAAGACTAAAATAAATCATTCAAATTGAGCAATATTTTTAATGATATTTTCATATACCTCTGTTACAACAATTTCAAGTGTAATACATTGTAAATGTATTCATATTAAGATTTACAATTAATTTCAAATTATATTAATATTTGTTTGTATATTCTTATATACATATACGTCATTAAACAATTCTTCTTGATACTGTATATCATTTATATATACATATACATATATATACTATGTTATCAAAAATGAATATATTTTCAAGTTCCAGCTGAAAAGATACGTGTTGGTCGGGATTTCCAGGTCATAGTACCAGAACTTATTCCAACTAATGGTAAGTTTATCATGACAAAAAATTGACTATATATAGTTTAACATGTAAATGAAATAATAATAATAATAATAATAATAATAATTATTATTATTATTATTATTATTAATTGAATGTTATTACATATAATATTTCTTGATTAAATAAAAATGAGATGATTTTATATTAAAAATTGATTTTAGAACGTAGATTGGATCAATGCCCTGATAGAGCATTGTTGGTTTGGTCTCCTACTACTGATATACCAGATCAAAAATGTAAATATTATTGTTCATTGTAAAAAAAAAAAAAAAAAAAAGTCTAATTTTTATGAATTATATCAATAATTTATCTTGTTTTGTTTTTAGTGGATGAATACATAGTATTAGCGAAAGAGAAATATGGATATAATGGCGAGCAAGCTTTAGGAATGTTATTTTGGCATAAACATAATTTAGAACGTGCTGTATTAGATTTGGCAAATTTTACACCATTTCCTGATGAATGGACGGTAGAAGATAAGGTGTTATTTGAACAAGCGTTTCAATTTCATGGGAAAAGTTTTCATCGTATTCGACAAATGGTAAGTTGTACAACGTAATCACATAATTAAATATTTAAGGGGGTTATATACATTTAGAAAAAAAGTAAATCGAATTTTCTAAAAGTATATCATTTCGAAAGTATTCCGTCAAAATTTCATACAGATGTGACCTTTATTTATGAAGATATTGTAGAGGATTAAAATGATTATGTAGTTATTTCTTTATTTTATCTTATTATACTTTCAAAAGTGTGCAATATTGTAAACAAAATTCATATTTTGGAATAGTCGATCGTTCAATCTGTTAAGACACATTCATACTAATAATTTACATTGATTTTTTTATATTTTTTTTTTTATTTTATATGATCCAGTAATGTGATTCTTTACTCACCGCAAACCACGTTTTTTTTTTTTTTTGGACCTCCTCACGCAGATTGGCTATAACTCGCTTGTGTCTAAATATTTTTACATAAAAAAAAAAAAAATTATTGTAATATCCTCAAACATGTATATTTTGAACTGCAGATTATTCGTCAGTAAATAAATAAACCAGTTTTCTAAAAAAGCGTTTTTTTCGGGCCTCTAAAGATATATATATATATATANTATATATATATATATATATATATATATATATATATATATATACCCCCTTTAAATAATTTGTTTTTACATCAAACAAATGCAATGTTTATTTATTTGATATAAAATGAAAAAAAATGTATTCAATAATTTTCAGTTACCTGATAAGTCAATCGCCAGTCTTGTTAAATATTACTATAGTTGGAAGAAGACAAGAACTAGGACGTCGTTGATGGACAGACAAGCAAGAAAATTAACAAGCGGTGGAAAAGAAGGTGAAAATGGCAGCGAGAATGGAAGTGAGTTAGGCTCAAATACAGACAGCGAATCTGAAGAAAAAGTAAGATATATCTTGTTTTCTAATGAATGAGAAAAATGCATGAATTATATATATATATATACAGACCCAAAATTTAGAATTTTATATAATAGATAAGCTGTATTTATTTTCAATTGAAAAAAAAAAAAAAAAAAGAATATAATTCTTATTTTTATGTGATGCAGCAATTGAAATTTTGCTTATTCACGAAGATACATAATTGATTTTTTGAATGTTACACTTACACTAATTACAGTAATGAAAATCTGTGAGACAGAACATATTTGCCGTTTCAATAAAACAAGATACTTAATGATAACATTAATTATTTTGTTTACAAATATATTGTCAAAAGTTTGTGGCAAGTAAATTTATGCATTCAAAAATATCAACTTTAACACCTTATCAATAGAATCAAAACATTCACCTGTAATACAAAAAATAATGATCAATCTAATGCCAATGATTGATGATAAACAAAACAATATTCTATTAAACTATTTATGTAGATAAGGTGTTAATAATTAGTGATATATATATATCTGCACTATTATGCATGCAGCACACTGCTATAGAGATGCAATTTAAAAGATTTTTAGTTCCTGTAGTAATTTTTCAATATATTACGTAATGCAGGTAATTCAAGTAGCACACTTTCTGTTTGTTGTTAGCTGAAATGTGCAATGCTAAAAATAGATACTCTAAAAATGTATCCACACGTTACTTGGTCCATATGGACAAAACAAAACAAAATAAAAAAAATAAAAATAAAAGAAGAATAATAATTAATTTGTGTCCTGGAAGGATCATAAAAATAAATATTTCAATATATTATTGAGGTGAATTAGATATGATCATATAGGACAATTATAAATTAAAGAGAATATAAATATTTATGAAATTTATAAACTATATATATATATATATATATATATATATTTATTTTCAATAAAGTGTCATTATACAATAGTATAACTACACTTGTATATAATTAAAGAAAAGCTTATCCATTATTTGACGTGTAAACGTTAAGTTATGGTTTATGAAACTAGCGTTCAGTCGTGTTTATGAACGTAAATGTGGAACGTTCCAGAAATGGACGATCCACCGCGGAATACGTCGTGGAAAGAACCAAGCTGTGCCAGGAAGCCAAAGCACTGACGCTAAGGCCCCATCCGACTCGGAAAACGCCCCTCAGGTTCAGGTACTCAGCCTAAACCTTACCCTGCTTTCATAGCATAAGCAGCTTATTATCTTTGCTATGTTATGTCTCATATTGTAGTATATATTATATCGTATTGCACACAAAGAATTTAATTGAGACATGATCAAAATGAAATTATCAGAATGTTGTATAAAATGCATCTATCCCTTTAGAATCGATAGGCTGAAACCTTACTGAGGATGTAAATATACATATTTCTAAAGTTCAGCAATAATCTATAGACATGTATTTTGTGCATAAAATTATTATTCATTTTATTCAAATTATCAAAAGATAATACATATATATATTTGTCATAGTATTTATGTTTTGTGCCTCCATTCCATGGACACAAAAAAAATATCAATTATTAATTATGAGTGTACCATTACACACAATGATTTGTGACTGTTAACAATAACTAAATTTAGAATATATTTTTTCAAATTGTCCCAAACTAACTGTATACAACTATAATAATAACAACAACTTCATTTATTTATATATATATATATATATATATATATATATATATATATATATATATATGTAAATGAAGTATTCATTTTCATTTAACTCTCAGTCACAAGCCTAATGTATGTATTCAAGAATAGATAGATGGGGAAGGGTTTCTAGGAGATTATAAAAATTTGTTTTTTTAAAAGGGCATTATATATGTTGTAGGGGTCGTGTAGCAACTGTGGCGTTGCTTGCAATAGCGTACGTGCAACTCCCAAGGGACACGCGTGTCATAGCTGCTATCTGCACTGGAGGTCAGTGAATGCAAGTAAAAATAAATATATCACTGCATAAAATAGCAAGGAAAAAAATATTCCATTTTTTGATCCAATCACATATATATATGACACTTTATAATATATAATATATACACACATGTATATATATAAACGTTTGTATAGAAAATATATTTATTTATACTGCGTGCAGATTTAAACGAACAAAAATAATATAATTATTATATATTCTACAATATATTAAAATATATTCTCTTCACAATATTATCTTCATGATGTAGGCGTACTGGTGTAGCAAGACCCCTAAGTTCTATGCCAGGTCGTACAAACAAAAGAAAACCACCTCGTGGATTGGTAGTAAATCATGATGACTTGGCAGCATTGGCTGGTCAACCTAATCAAGCTAACAACAGTTTACAAGCTATCGACACAGAGATTGTTAGCCTAAAACGTCAAGTATGTCCCCCTTATAGAGATAATCCAATTATATATGTATATATCGTGTGGATACATTTTTTTTCTATATATGTATTTTTGTTGTCAACAAATTTAATGCTTCATATTTTGAATGTTCTAAAATTTGTCTTTTCTTTCTTTTTCTTTTTATATATATATAATCTAGATACAATCAAACAAGCAACAAGTAAGTGCTTTAAAACGTAAGACTACTGATGGAGTAGATGACTTACGACCACCAGAAGTTTCCAGTCGTATAAATGCACGATGGACGAATGATGAACTACTGTTAGCCGTTCAAGGAGTTAGAAAATATGGCAAAGATTTTTCTGCAATTGCTGATGTTATTGGTACTAAAACTGAAGCTCATTTGCGATCATTCTTTGTTAATTATCGACGAAGGTACAATTTAGATGCCGTTCTAAAAGAATATGAAGCTGAAAATGGACCGATATTAATTGATGATGACAAAGAAGAAAAGGTAATATATTTATATATTTATTTTACATTAGTTATTGGTCTGTGTTAGCATAACAACTGCTAGTCTCGGGGAAGGAAAACTAGTTTGTAGTGGTCCCCGGGGTGGGTGGGTCCCAGTCACCACAACACAGCGCGTCCTCAGGTTGCGGATAGAGGAAAGACCTCCTGGTCCTGCATAGGGACGGAGGTTAACTGCGAATAAATTGAATAAGCAGTCGCGGACAGCCGACTTGGAATTGGCCCTCCTGTTTGAGGGTTGGGCGTAGGTCTGATTACCCCACACCGTAAAAAGACTTTATCATGAAACAATGAAAACTGCCATGGATTCTACTAGGGTAACATTTTCCTGAGGTAAACTAGTCCCCCGTTCGGATCTCCGGGTGGGGACTACCTTGCGGAATTCGTGTCGGGTAAAGTTAAAAAAAACGGATCAGCAATTTTAAGTATTTAGGATCAATCATAAATCAAACGAACGAAATTAACGAAGAACTTAAAAAAAGAATCAATCTAAGCAATTCATGTTTTTATTCGGTTAACAAATTACTCAGCTCGCGGTTGCTGTTTAGGCGTTTGAAAATCAGGATATACAGGACAATCATTCTACCAGTAGTCCTTTATGGTAGCGAAACGTGGTGTTACTTGCGTTACGGGCCTAAAAGTAATTTAGGGTTTAGAAAATAAAGTTGTTTCGTAAAATGCTCGGTACAGATAGTACAAGATGGGCTGGTCACGTGGCGCGGTGCATGGGGGAGGATCAAACGGTGCACAAAATATTGGTCGGTATACCAAACGAGAAAAGACCACTATGGGTAGACCGAGACGTAGATGGGAGGATAATATTAGAAGAGACCTGAAAGAAATAGGATAATTAATAATAATAATAATAATAAGTTATTGGTTGATTTATATATTTGTTGTTTTCAGATGGATATTGATCAACCAAATGAAGTGGCAGAATCATCACAAAAAGCAAAGGCATCAAGTGGTTTAGGACAAACTACAAAATAACGAATGATTCTATTAAACACCAAATGTGACAAAGTAAATTTCAGGGTTACTGAAAGTCGACGTTGATACATGAAAAAAAAAAAAAAAGATACTTGTTTGGATTAATTTTTTAATTTTACACGTATTTTTTTTTTTTTGTTTTTTTTTTGTTTTGTTAATAATTGTAGGTACGTATGAGAATATATAAATGAATATTCGTTTGCAAATATTAGAGATAAATTTGCGGGTCAGTTACTAAATCAAAAGTATTTTAAATATTACGACTTTGCAAACTTAGATAATAATAATAATATTAATAATAATAATAATAATAATAATATATATATATAAACATTTCTTAAAATAGATAAATTTATTATTTCATATTGTAACAATTTGTATTGGTATATTTATTGATATAATTATAATCATAAATTGAAATTATATATTTGAAAGATGAATACGGTGAATACAAAAAGTTTATGATCTCTACTGATAAAAAAATAATGAAAATAATTTTAATAAGTGCACATGTGTCATGCAATAATAAGAAAGAAGAAAAGAAAAAGAAAAAAACAAAACAAAATTAATATAAATTATAATTATTATAAAATGTATTTCTGTATGTGTGTTTGATTTTTCTATAGATACGATGATGGTCTCTTATATTATTATATTATATAAAAAACACATTTCCTATATTATAAGTAACAAATTTTTTTTTTATTACATTGAATATAATAAAACAAAAGAATAATGTAAATTATTCGTATTTAAGAAGAAAAATATTAATGACAATATTTCATGTTTTTATTAATTGTAATAATTTATTGTGAAATGATTATGTTGATATAATAAGAAAATCATTTCAAAAGATATTGACCCATCATGACAGAGTAATTAAAAAAATAGAAAATAGTCATTTTTTTTAATTATTTAAAATGATTATACAAATTTATTATCTATTATGTACTTGTTAATAAATAAGACAATCTAAAAGATCTGTAAAAGAGTATACGCTTTGCGTTACAATTAACAGATTTATTATTAATTTTATTATAATACTGTGTAATATATTTATTAAAATATAATGTGAGATAATTCGAATTTCTTCTCATGATTTATATCTTTCATTTTTGGTTAAGAGAATTAATTGTAATTATAATTTAGTGATAATAATTTTATGTATTGTAATCATATTTACTTATTTGTAATGATATCTGTAATTATATTATTTATCCAACCTATCCAACAAGTATCAAATATTTTTAATATTAATGCACTTTTTAATGATAATACATAAAGAAATAATATTCATATGTACAAGACACATTTGCAAAAAAAAAAAAAAAAAGAAAAGAATTGCATTCTTAAATAATTCATTAAAATATGCTTGATTAGTGGTATTGAATGTTATTAATAATTACAAAAGCCTCATCAATAAATATAATTGGACATATCAAATAAATGGAGGCATTTCAAGTGTACAGTGAATATAATATACTTTTATTTCAATAAAGTATTAAATAATGATTGTGTAATCTTTAAATGCTATGTATAAAGACTTCATCTATTACAGCATCTTAGCAATTTTGAATACCTTTTAATATACTATAATTATATACAATTTAATTAATACAAATCTTATTTCAATATACATAGCTTTATATTACGTATAAACGTATTTTCAAAATAATACTTTGTAATCGTGTATAATCTCATATATATATATACATATATATATATATAAAAAGATTTATAAGGTACACATTTAAAACCAATTTTCATTCATTTATAATTACTTATTTATAATAAGAAATAATTCTGTAAACTTTAAAATGTAATACAACATTCATAAAAAGTAGTAGTATGTTTGCATGTACTCTGATTTCTATGATAAGATTTTATGTGTGTGTGTGTATAATAGTTGACTATATTTTTGATTAAGCATCAGTGTGCTATTCATTTTTCCTATTTTGTTATTTTATTTTATAGTATGTATTACAGAGTTTAACAGTAAAAAAAAAAAAAAAACAACTATGATATGCCTTGATAAGAATTTGGTAGAAATATTTAAGTAGATATATTGTAATAATATAGAAATGTTCTCATCATAAGTAAATTTATTAGATTATGCATGTGAACGTGCAATTTCTTTACAATCATGTATACATTACATGTATATTAAACATGACAAATTAAATTTAGAAGATAAATATAATAGATGTATTTTATGTATTAACCACATTATCAAATATTTTTTAAATAATATTTTATGTGAGTAATGTAGTATATTGTGTATATATATATATAAATTTATGATATTGTAAACTTATAAATGTATACATGTTATATATCTGTAAGTGTGTTGTACAGATATATATATATATATATATATATATATATATATATATATTTATTCAATATTATTAAATATGAACTATGTATTTTACTCAACTAAAAGGAATTTGCTTTATATGTTAGTTTAAAACAAAAAATACTTTTATTATCCCTATTAATGAATAATTTTATTATATTTTATTTATTTGTAATTATTATTGATGTATGATTCTATCAATTATTACAATTCCAATTTGTATTATCCTTTGTTTTTTAATAATTATATTTTTCATCATCATTTTATATATATATATATATATATATATATATATATATATGTATATATGTATATATAATTTTATGATAAAACTAAATTGTGATTAATATTTACATTATAATTAATAATAGTTCAAGTAATTAATAATAAACAATATACAAATTGGATTGTTTATTGATTTTTTTAAATTAATGAAAGAAATGACAAAACTACTATGAATATAGATACATATGTATGCATATGTATATATTACATTGCATTACACGTTTTATCTGTGTACAATATTAGAGCTAAGTATATTTTTTAAAAACAATCATTCCAATAAATCAATAAAAATGGCTTTTACTTTGTGGTCACTTTACGAAGCTACTTTATTATGTTTAAATGCTATTTGTGTATTAAACGAAGAAAGATTTCTCGTTAAAAGTGAGTAAACTTTGTCATATTCTATTTTATAGGTTAGGTTAGGTTAGTTTTGTTATGACACCATAAATGTCATTATAGTTAAATTTTAAGTATATATATGTTGTAGCAAGAGTACAAAAATAATAATTATTAAATATATACGAGTAAATATATAAGTTTAATAGATTATATATATATATATATTCTAACCTATTTCATTATTACATACAATTTTCAAATATACACATATTATATCGGTATTTGTTATTATAGTTGGATGGGCATCATGGCAAAATATACAAGGATTTGGTGAACCACCTACAGCTAAATCACAGATGTTAAATCTTATTAAATCTGTAAGAACAGTTGCAAAAGGTACACTTTTATTATTTTATACAGAATATCGGATAATTATTTGAATAATAATTAATATACATGTGTACATTTATTTTATTTTCTTTTCAGTTCCATTAATAGGTCTAAATATTTTAACAATAATTGTGAAAATGGTTCTCGGTTGAAAAAAAAAAGTTATTTATATATATATATATTTTAACTATAATGTCAAATGAAAAATTAATTACCATAATTGTTGGTATAATTTAATGAAGTATTTTTTTTTTCTTTTTAAATCTTTTTTTACACTAATATAAAATTTTGTACACTATAATAATAATGGACAGAAACATTGTAATGTATTAAAATAATTTCGAGGAAATAGACAAAAAGAAAAGAAATGTCAACTATAATGTAAGATCAGATTGTATAAATTTTGTCAGTATAAATCAAGCTAAATATATTTCAAAATTTTATAACATATTCTACTATTAAATAAACAACAAATGTCCATTCATACTTCATATAATTAAATTAATACCAAGTTAAATATATTCCAAAATTTTACAACATATTCTACTATCAAATAAACAACAAATGTCCCCATTCATATTTCATATAATTAAATTATACTTCTGTATTCTGTATATACCATAAAGTACAAGATAAATTAGATCAGTCAGATATTTCTCAGTGTACCGTGGGAGAATCTTTGAAACTGGACGATAGCCGGATACGTGAGACCTCCTTTCACTTTTTTAAGTATGTCGATTAATGTATATATGTAAAGTAAAGCATATCAATATTTCGTAAAACTTTAAAATTGTATCTTTCAAATATTCCACACACACACACAATAACGATATGTTGCTATAGTTATTATATTTAAATAAAATAAACATGTTAATAATGATTGAGTTATATATATATAATATTAGTATTAGGTCGAGTCATAAATAACTTTCGTTTTTTATGAAAAAAAAGAATGGCGTTTCTGCGATTGATAAGTGCAAGACACCTTTTTTTGCACTCTTCGCAATTGTTCAACGTATCTATTAGATTTTGCTCTAATATTATCTTTAAAAGGTTCATCAAAGTCGGAAAAACGTCCTGCACTTGGTTCATCTTTTAAGATCGTATCACCAGAACGGAATTTTACAAACCAATTTCTGACTGTCCTATCAGTTATCAGTCCTGCACTGTATACGCTGTATATTTTTTCAGTTGCCACCTTAGTGCTATTGCCTTGTTTCAATTTCTAAAGCATTACATGTCGAATATGCACTTTTTACTATCCATTTCAGTGGTTAAGAAAAAACGGTTAAATGTAACATTGACTGTATAAAGAAAGTTAACAGAAGATTAACTGAATCCTCATCTATACAGTGATATCGAAAATCCGTTTGTTTCGGTGACTTATAGTAGGTAAATACGAAAAATAGATTCTACATAGCCGCATCGAAAGTTACTTATGACTCGACCTAATTTTAATATATATATAAATTACGTGTCACGTTGTTTGTTCGCAATGGATTCCTAAACTACTGAATCGATTTTAATCAAATTTAGCACACTGTGTGCAGTTTCATCCAACTTGAAAGATAGGATAGTTTATATTTCAATTTATAATCAAATTATTTGTTTATTAACAAAGAGTCATGATTATCTCTGTTATTTCGATAAGATTCTAACAGACGGTGGTATAAGGTAATTCGTTCGCATCGGAAGTTACTTATGACTCGACCTAATATTAATATAGTTCAAAAATTGTCATTTTTAGGTAAAGGGTGGTTTAAGGGGGAAAATTGAGGTGGAGAGTGGTCCATAAAAGGGTGGGAAGAATGGTCAGAGAAGGGTTGAGAATGGTTAGAAATGGTTGAAGAGTTAGTAAAGGTTTGGGGGAAGAATTTTGATAGAGGTCAACATGCCAGTTGTAAGATGAATCTCGAAAAGGAAGGTTTGTTAATATTAATGTAAAATAATATTGTAATGTTTATATTAATTAATTAAATTATATTCTCAAAAACAAAAACGATAATTATTAAATATAATATATTATTAGAATCTAGTTAATAATAAATTATTCCGTTCCTACAAAACATTTTAGTTCAAAGTATTAACCACTCGAAGGGTTAATTAAATAAATCAAAAAGTACTGTAAAAATATTGAAATTAGCCCATCGATGTGATAAAGTTTTTACAGTGTCTGCATTATCTTTCTTTTTTTTTTTGTTGTTGTTGTTTATTCATTCAATATAACAAATTATATTAATACTTTCCAAAAGGAAAAAAAAAAGAAAAACAATGTAGTAATCGTAACGGTGTACGTATTTTTAAGGGACACTCTCACTGTATATACGTAACAGGATAAATATATACGTATTTCTTGTTTAGAGCAGATATTTAAAAAAGATTTCTTAGCTAGGTAGTGTTGAGTCTGTGAAAAGGCAGGAAGAGCTTTCACTCTTTAGTAAGAAGGTTAAAAATAGAGAAAGAGAGTGAGAGAGAGAGAGAGAGAGAGTGAGATGCGCATTAGAAATAAGGAAAATATATACAACATATCGTTTTCTCTTTTTCTTTGTCCTTTCAATAAGCATTTATTAATTGACCTATAATATAAACTTCCAATTAAAGGATAAAACTAAACCGTCTTATACGTTAACAACGTTTAATTTCAATTGTGTGTAAATCCATTGTATCCTGCGTGTGTCTGGAGAGTATAACAAAAAAGAAAAAAACAAAAACAAAAAACCCAATGACGTAATTTGATCTAAGGAGTGATGAAATGACTATGGTCATTACGTTAGATAGCATCGTTGAGCTGGTTCTACCTGGACTACCTCATCAAAAAGTGTTTCTTATTTCTTCGATGGTCCGATCCTTTTTGCTCGTGGCAAAAGTTGTCGGCAAAGTAGCACATTACAAATAAGGAAGAAAGCGAATATAACACGGACGTCCTTCTCCTTCTCTTTTTCATCCTCCTCCTCCTCCTTCTCCTTCTCCTCTTCCTCCTCCTTCTGTTTCACCTTCCCTTGGTTCTCTATAATTCTGCATTATTAGCCGCAGGATATATTCGTTCGAGAACTCATCCACTTTCCAATCCCAACGAGCTTCATCGCGCAAGAATTTACGTCATGATGAGAGAAAGAGAAAGAGAAAGAGAAAGAGAGAGAGAGAGAGAGAGAGAGAGAGAGAGATGAGATGAGACTCTTATTCGTATACGAACGTTTCTGAAGTGAAAGGAGAAAGGCCGGGTTACATTGTATAAAAAAAAAAAAAAAAAAAAAAAAAAAAAGAGGTTCATAAATCGAAGAGAAACATGCGTAAACGCATCCGATGCTATCGAAGATTGCAAACTAGGAATAAACGTTCCTTGCGATGTTGTTGATTTTAAATTAAGGAGAGAGAGAGAGAGAGAGAGAGAGAGAGAGAAGAAACCTGTCTCTTGGTTGCTTCTCAAATGTGAATGTGGTGAACGGATGAAATATAGGGGAGAGAGAGGGGGGTGGTTTATATTCGTTAGTTTTACGTAACAACAGAGAGAGAGAGAGAGAGAGAGAGAGAGATAAATAATTCTTTTTTAACGGTGGCGACGTTTTTTTATTTTTTTCTATAAAAAAGCCTTTATACAAGTACAAAAATGCGTGGTTAAAGAATAGCATTTAAAAACGTAGAAAAATAGTGTGTATTCGTGGCTTCGTGTGATACGAGTTGCTCGATAAAAGGACCGTGTCGCACGTCAAATGATCTTTCCTGTATTTCGGTATTTCGTTTTTTTTTCTTTTTTTCTTTCTTTCTTTATATAATCCAATTAACGAGATTTTCATTTTTGTTGTTGTTGTTGTTGTTGTTAAGATAATACAATAATGATCAGGGAGATCCTATTCGAGATCTCATAATCTCGGTGGTCCCTTTCATTTGTTGTTTTTATCTTATTACATTATTTTCTTTTTTTGAATAACGAAATATCCGAAAGAGGGTTCGTCATTGAGTTGCGTCACGGACACTTCGATTTTTTAAGGAGTAAATATAAAAAAAAAAAATTGTATTTACAGGGCGCAATTTGTGCGCCAATCACGTCTTCGGTTTCGGCTAATTCTGGCCCTTTACTCTTACTTCTTCTGTTCACTTTATGATTATATACCAAGGACTCTTTTTACAGTCAAGTCCTTAGATATATCCAATGCACACACGACGATGATGTGCGTTTTTCATTCGTTTTATTATATTTTGTTACTGGTCTTCTCCTCACCCGTTGTTTCATTTTTTTTTTTTTTTTTTTTCGTTTAAATACGACAACAAATGTATGGTGTTTTGGTGTGGCGAATCGTAACACCTCATCTGGTGTTGAGTCTCTCGTTAAGTTAGTTAAGTGTTGTTGTTGTTGTTGATTTTTTTTTTCTTTCTTTTCCTAAATTAATTATAGTTCTTTCATTTTTCTTTAAATTCTTGTTATTGACTCATTTTAAAGCTGCGACATCTACGATCTTCGACGAGATAAAATCGTAGATAATCTTTTGATTTTGTCGATTTGCTTCTAACTACTATTATCTATCGTATTCTCGTAGTTCTATTTCGTATTGACGACGTATACATATATGTATATATATATGTACGATTTTCATTTAGATTTTTACCTAAATCAAAAATAATGCGCGCGCGTTATTATTACGTAATATTCGCGAAGATATTTGAGTTGTTCTATGACGACGACGATAAGATCCCTGATCTTCTTATGACGATTACTTCTTTAATATAATTAATGACGACCGAGCGCTTTCCCATCGTACGACAATCTTCCGAGCGTTTCAAAATGAAGGAAGGATTCTTCCTTGATCAACGATGTTGCGAGATTCCTTGATTCCCATTCTCGAATTTGTCTTGAACCTCTTTTGAATGTCATTATCATTGAATGGTGTATTATTTGAAAGATGTTGATGGACGACGTTACGTTTGTTCTTAAATTATTGGCTCGAAAGATAGTCGTCTTTGTTATCCTGCTCTCTCTCTCTCTCTCTCTCCCTTCCTTGTTTTTTATTGGCGACGACCGCTTTAGAAGGGTGCACCGTAGCTACCGCTTGGCCTGCTGGGTGCTCCATAACTTACACTAGGACCACTTGGATATCCACCAGCGCCTTGGGTAACTTGATTGAATTGGGCTACTTGGATGGCTTGCCTGATACCTTCGAGATCAATGCCTACGACGCGGGTTTGGTAACTGGGTACACCATAGCTTGAACTAGGTACTCCATATTGCGGTGATGGAGCACCATAACTCGAGCTTGGTGCATATCCTCCACCACCGAATCCTCCAGTCTGTTGTGCTTGCAATTCCTCTTTGAGAAGAATCTGACGGATTTGTTCGAGAAGAGCCCCATCAACAGATGCACCCTCGCTAGTTTGATAACCAGTGGATACCTGAGTGTATCCACCTCCTCCTCCTAAAGAATAACCTCCTCCACCACCACCCCCGCCTGGTCTACTGTAACTGTAGCCGGAAGAGACTGGTGGTTCAGCCAGGGCGAACCCTGCCAAACCAATAACCATACACTGAAACAAATGAAAAACAAAAATAAACTAAAACAACAATCTTAAAAAGGACAATATTTTACGAACGATTTCTCAATAATCTACGTTCTAATTTATGCTGTGCACAACTATCTTTGATTAAATTTGATACTAGAGTCACGTAATATTGCAAACGATTGCGTTGAACAGATCGATAGGCCAATGTAAACGACCATCTTGTAATTTATGTCGAAACAACTTTCAAGAAACGTTGGAATACCGATGCAATTCTCCCAAGAAGGTAATCTCGTTTAAGAACTTTTTCGTTTTTTCAATTTTCCTTTTTTTGGATGGTAAAATCAATTTTACAAAAGATAAATAGTTGAATTGGATAGAAATTCGATAAATAGAAAGAATTAATTGTAAATATCCTTTCACTTTTAACAAAAATACATACACCAAATCTCGCGAATATTTTGATTAATATTAGTATCTTTGACACATTCTATATCTCATTTTAATTTCACCCCTCTCCCTTAACCCTTCAATATTTTATTCCTTAATGTCAAAAATGAATCTGCTTACCGCGATCAAGGGATTCATGCCGGCTTCTACGATGCCGCTTGGTTCTGTGACTCCGTGGATGGTAGAACAGGGTCCTTTATACTCCCAGGAGAAGCAGGGGGATATGTAAGGCCCCCACGAAGAAGAGACGGGGCCTCTCGGGTGAGAGTAATTCAACGGTGAGACGATTCTCTGGTCATCCTCTTTCTCTCCTCCTCCTCCTCCTCCTCATACCGATACTCTGTCTCACTTTTATACACACACACACACACATATATATATGTAAACTTTGTATTACAGTAGTTTGTTAGTAGAAGATTGATCCTAGAATCTCCATCTAGAGGTATACTTAAACGAGATTTGGTAGATGGTTGGAATATTGTGAAATTTAGTCTGTCTTCATCGTGTATAGTTAAGTACTAGTTACAAGTTGCGTCCTAGACCTAGACTCAGTAGACCCAATACTCTATTAGAATATTTGTGAAACATTTACTTAAATCTATCATTTTAATCTACATTCAGTTTAAATGTTAATCGTCAAACGATATTATTGGATTGTCCAGAAAGTAATTTCGTTTCTTTTTTGAAAATCAAGACAATTATTGCTTTGAAATTGAACCTAGGCCTTTCAGGTGGGCATAAACAGTTGATTTTGTTCAATTTAAACTTTCAACAATTTCAAGTGTTGTTATTTGTCGGATTTGTATCAACTAATGTCAAAATTGTTTCAGGAAAAAAATCAAATTAATTTAATTAAGATTTATATTAAATAATAATTATAAATGAAATGTTCTTTTTTTTTTTTTTTTTTTCGGGTAAAAACCATCATCCCAACCTATGGGTTGTTTACGCAACAAATCTCACGTTATTTGCCGAGAGTCTTCAATGATTTCGAAAGAATTTGATACTGCAATAATGCCTTATGTAAAAACGTTTTGTGAATACCTATTACAAGTGGACAAAGTGGACATGGTAAAACTGTATTTTTTTTTCCTTTTTTTTTTTTTTTTTAAGAATCCTTGCACATACGACACATACGACATATGTTTTAACCTGTCTAGAATTCGTGTATGATTTTTGAGATATTGGATTGAATGCAAACAACGTCATTGCGACTAAAAACGAAACAAAATGTAATGATGATTCAACTATTTGTTATTTAAACAAAAACAAAAAATTATTATTACGAGTACGTGTGTGTGTGTTTTTTATTTATAATTAATTATAAATAATATAATTAAGTTATTATTAATTAATTAATTTTGTAGAATTAATTATAATTAATTACAATACTTTTTCTTATATTTTATAATATAAAAAAAAAAAAAACAATCATTTGATATCATATTAATAAAATATGATTAGATTAATCGTATCAATGATGATGATGATGATGATGATGATGATGATGATAATTCAATTAAACGAAGAACAAAAACATTCAATCTTACACGAGAAATTAATTTATTCAAACAAATGAACCTTTGACCCAATTCTCGTAACACTTTTGACTACTCATAGTTCGTTGTTGTTGTTGTTGTTTTATTTGCTTTTTAAAATTTTTTTTTTTCGGTTTGTTTTAAATTTTGTTTTCTCTCTTTCCCTCCCTCTCCCCTCCTCCTCCTCCTCTTCCTCTTCCTCCTCCTCCACTCGTCTTTCACATTCCGTATTCTTTTCCCTCATTTTATTTTTATCTATCTCTTTTTATTCCTCATAATCTACCGTGGCCCAATTTTGTATACTCAAATCGCACACTTTTATCCTTAGTTCATAAGTATTACATATGTATGTATGTATGTATGTATGTATATATGTAAGTGGTTTAAATGTGTGTGACCTCGAAAGGACTCACGAAATTTTATACGATCGCTTTCACGTGTCGACGACGTCCTATAAAAAAGATAAGTAAAAAAAAAAAAAAAACAAAATAAAAAAAAAAAATAAAAGTAGCGGTTGCAAACGAACGTTTAATAATTTGCAATTTCTTTTAAATTTTTTTTAATTTTATTTTATTTTATTTTATTTGTTTTGTTTTGGACTTTTTAGATACGTTCCTTTCTTTTTATTAAATCATGATCCTTTCTTTTAGAAAAAAATAAAGAAGACAAATGTTTGACTATATATATATATATATATAAACGTCAGGAAATTTGGATTTCTATCTTCAGTGACAAGCACTTTAACGAAGCAAATGCCTCGGGAAACTCCGAACTGCCTTCGAGCTATCCAAGAAGGTGCCATGTGTGTTTGTATCTGAGTTTCTCGAATACTGACGCGTTACGGGGTTGCGGAAAGAAGGTCGGGGGAAGGAAGGGGATTCATGCGCTCGAGGCTTCACTTTCGCTCGACCATAAGCTTCTTCTTGTGCTCGTATCATCTTCTTCTTCTTCCTCCTCTCTCTCTCTCTTTCTCTTTCTTTTTCGTTTTCTCTTTCTATCTGTCTATCTTTATCTTTTCTTTGGTAGTCGTAGGTTTTTCTTTGATCCTGCGAAATCTTTCCTACCGGATGTAGGATGTAATAATGCGTGAGAAGTATCTCGTATATATATATACCTTTTACCTTTTTTTTTTTATTAGAACATATATATATATATATATATATATATATATATTTTGTAGGAAATTTTTAAAAATGTTTTATATATTAATTTTTATCTATATATATATTATTTCAATCCAATAGAATGTAATTTAATTATTAAATGTAAATTATTTAATATTATTATTTAATTTAAATATAAATAATTATATTATAATATTATATTAAAATTATATATATATATAATTTTATTTATAATTATTATAATAATTATAAATTATTAATTATATATTATATATTTAATATTATATTTATTTTATTATTTATATTAATATTATAATAATTAATTTATATTAATATTATATTTATATTTTTATTAATTATAAATTTATTTTATATATAAATAAATTATATATAATTTATTTCTATATAATATATAATTATATTATTATAAATATAATAATAATATAATTTTATATTCGGTTTTTTTAAATTTTGTTTTTCTTTAGTAAAAATAAAGACAATTTCTTACTTGTTATTATTTGCAAGGGTGGAATCAATGTCTTTATTGTGTCAGTAAAAAATGAAATTTCTTTCCAAACAACCCAATACTCTTTTATTATTTTATATATCTATATCTATATATATTTAAATATATTTAACAAAATTTCTTTAGAAATATATTTATTCAAGATATCATTTGGATGATTAAAATTCTTGTATTTAAATTAATGTTCATAATAAGTTTGGTTGTTTAAAAATGATACATAATTGAATTAATTAAATTAATAAATAAGTTTGTCTCTATATATATATATATATATACATATATATATATATATATATATATATATATATATATATATATATATTTTTGATAAAATAAGAATGATGATGAGAAATATCTAATACGTTAAGAACCAAACGTTAAACTCAACAGAGTGAAAGGTGAAAGGGAAGATACACAAGGTGATGCGTTATGAATCGAACATTTCTGTCAGAGTATTACAAATTGTTGTTTTTTTTTCTTTTTTTTTTTATATAATATTATATATATATATATATAATTGTAGATTATTAATTAATAAGAAAGTATTTTGTATCAATTAAGAACTATTTAACTGTGTGTATCATTGGTCAATGTTTAAGGAAAAACTTTAATTACCAATGTTGAGACTCGTATTTACGATTTCTAGTAAAAGATCTTTTTACAGTGGCATATAAGAGACGACACTAAAGATTTGTAAAAATTCTTTACAGTGTGTATATGCCATTTATAATACAATGTCTCGTCTATCGTATTAACATACTAATGTGAATTTACACGAACAAGATAAATATTTACGATTAGATAAATTCGACATTTTTATTTAACATACATTATTATCTACAAATTCTACATTACTCTGTCTAATGCAATAAAATTATCGTAATTATTTCTTTTTTTTTTTTTTTTTTTTTAATATTTCAATAAATACAATCTAGTTTTTTTTTATGAGTATGTATTTATCGTATATACGTATATATCATTTTCACGATCACAATGTCGAATATTATAAGAAATTTCTAAAGATGAACAAAACACGTGAATGTGAACAAAAAAAAAAAAAAACAAAATGGATTATTCAAGAAATTCCTTTTTACGATTAAGCAATCGTTTAACAACCTCTGCATGTCGCAGAATAACTCGCATTAGAAACCGGCTATTAGACAGAAGATCGCACGTAGTAGTTTCTCTATGTTAGTTTTAAATGAGAAATAACAATGATACGAATAAAACATAAACTATACATATATACACACACACACACACACATATATATATATATATATAGTGATTTAAATTGTGATATAAATTGTGATTTATAATGATGATCGATTAAAATAAACTTTTATGATTAATATAAGGAAGATAGTTACGTTAACGTAATGAAAAGTTAAGAAAATGGTAACGTTACGATATTTAAGTTGCATGGTGGGGGAGGGGTAGGGGGAGGGTTCGGGAGGGGGGTGAACAACATTATTCCATACCATTCCATTCCCCACCTCCTAATAATCTCGGCACCGTTTCAAATCTCCTCAACACTTTCTTTTCCGTTTCAAAACTCATTCGGTTGCTCGCACGTTGGCTAGCATATCGTATCGATGCGATGCTTCGTACTTCCTTCGTGCGAACGATATTTTATTACATTTCTTACGTATCTATATATATATATATATATATTGATACAGTGTATAATAGAAGAGTGGTTTACTATGTTCAAGAAAATTACACAATCACATCGACAATTTGAGTTTTATTAAATAGGCCTATTGAAAAAAATGATATTTCAATTGACAAAGTATCTTTTTTTTTTTTATATTAATTTCTATATATTAATCGATTATATTAATTTTGCATTAAAAAAAACAAAAATTACATTTAAATAAAACCGATCTTAGGTTTATCGAAGCTTTCATTTTTTTTTTTTTTTTAATTATTTTTTTTCTTTTTTTTTCAATTAACCAGTTAACCTGTGGCACCTTCGTTTGAGTATTGACAGAATGGAGCAATGATGGAGTTACTACTCGTCAATAGACAAAATCGTCCGCCCCCCTCCCTCCCTCCCCCCTCTCTACTTATCGACGACGAGTATACACGTCAATAGACAAAATCGGCCTTCCCCCTCCCCAATTTATCGACGACGAGTATACACGGCGCGTGATTTTTGCTTGTTCAAACTTGGACCAAGGTGGACCACCGGTGGTACGCGCCGCCCGATGGGACAGTCTAGCGCGAGCCACCGGTGGTACACGCCGCCCGATGGGACAGTCTAGCGCGGGCCACCGGTGGTACGCACCTATGTGAACGTGTTAACAATAAGTGAAATCTATAATAATAGAAAAATTAATCGATTAAATGATTACAATGATGTTACCTACTTTCTTTTTTAATCGATGCTAGACAATAATCATTTATATTTGATTTCTTTAGATTAGTTAGTTAGTTATTTAGTTAGTTAGTTGTATTGTTAGGTTAGTTACTACTATGTAGTTCGTAGTTCGATTAAGAAACTTTCGTGAGAATATTCTTTCTCTCTGTTTAACGGAAGAGAGGTATCTTCCTTTATGGTAAACGAGCTTTGATCGTCACGAGAGCAACAGTGACCGAGATCTACCTGTTACCTTCACGTTTCTCATCAGTTCACTTTCTTCGAGAGGATGCGGAGATGCGACCTTTCCGGAGGTCACTGATATTACTATACGTTCGAATTTCACCTAACATTATCATCTTTCCGGAATATCAGCCGCCACCATTACTTTTTATTGCTTCCTTCTTCCTCTGACTAAGTAAAAGCTCGCATACCAATGTGTTAGTAGATTAGGCTAATCGGTATATTATAAAAGATGATTCTATATTAATATTATATTATATTTATTTATTATATATATATATATAGAATAGGATTTAAAAGCCATTTTTTAATATTTTTCAAATTTATAATATTTTTTAAATAATTTTGTAATATATAAATAATATATAATAATAAAATAATTTCTTTTAAGAATTAAATAATTTTTTATTAATATTATTATTATTATTATTAAGTATTTACTCGTTTCTTTTTCAGCTGGCAAAAGGTGAAAGTTCTAAAGTTTTTTTAAGATCTCGATAAATGCTTACATTTTTATTTGGACATTTTGTACGTAACTTGTTCATTATTTTTTTCTTTTGTTTTTGTTTTTTTTTTTTTGTATAGATTATCATTTTGAAAGAATACTTTTGAAATGTATTTTTTTTTTGAATTATAAATGAAAAAAAAAAACATAAGATCTACAATTTGTTAAATCAATGTATTACAGGTAACATTGAATTTTCAACATTTTTTTTTT